TTCAGTGATATAAATCCATCTGAATTAATATCTTGAACTTTGCAGTTTCTCAGTTTCTCGTCGGCTGCCCTGTACCCCAACGCAAGGCCAACTCCCGTCAGTCTGTTAGGCAGGAAACCAGTGGCCAGTTTATGGTGAGGCAATTAAGAACACCAGCTTGTTGATCTGATCTTTCTTTTCTACTGAGTTTTTCCAGTAAGAGTCTCTTATCCCCCTCTCTGCCAAATACTGCAGAATGTCTTCCTATACCACTAATTGTCTTAGAACCTTGTTTATAAGCCTTATAGTCAAGGAACTCATCACCAAACATATATATTTCTTTCCAGAACTGTCAATTTTAGGTTGCCTGCAAATCTGAGGCTGATCAGATTTTATTGCTCTCCTTCAGATATGAGCATCTGACAAAATTTTAAGTACACGAATATAAAGGCAACACAGTGGTGTGTGTGAGAAGTGAATCAAATGTCATTAAGTATAATAGTTGCCTTATGTTCCAAAAAGAAATGTCTTCTACCATGTAGATATTTCACTGATTTACTATTTTTTTAACAAGTTTTTCTTTCCTTTCTTTTTATGTGCAGTTTCATCTTCACCCTTTTTTATCTGATCTGTGAGACTAGGGACCACCCTCATTTTTGTTTTGGCTTAGAGCCTTGGATATAATAGGTTTTTAGTAGATATTCATTGAATAGAAACCCTAGTGTATTTTTTCCACTGACAAAGTACAAAGTCTAGGACATTTCATTGAACTGTTATGAGAATGCATTCTTTATGGGAAATTAATCTTTTTAACAATTAAATGCAATCAGCAAATTTTTAATAGTTCTGGATCTTTCGGGTGCCTCAGTGGCAGCTGTGGGTGGTGACAGCGAAAAACCAATGAACAGAACTTGGGGCTTTTCTCCCAAAGTTCAACCAGAGCAACTCAATTTTCTTCTGTTTATTTACTAATAGCATTTTATTTGAAACATAGCATACATTTTATTCAAAACACAGCATATAAAATCTCACACCTATTATCATCATTACCTGCTGAAACTGTTGATATTATCCTTCCCTCTCATCTCTAAAATGTTCTGACTCAATAGCTGGCTTCCTCTTGAGTAATTGAGTTGAAAGTACCATTTTTGTTAACATCAGATTAAGGTTTATTAATCAGGGGTGTCTAAATTTGCTTAGAGCAAAATTGTGCTCTACTTTTACTAAGCTCTAATGGAAATTCAGTACTTTTTGTGCTGTCTTTATCACCAATAGAAATTACAGATATTTTTAAATATGACACCGCATTTATGGAAAATATCTCAAATTAGCATTTATGGTTACCACTGAAATTACAGTGTTATTAGGGCCACCTGGACCTTGATATTTACCACCTTAATAAAGAAGCATATATATTACTTTCTTGCAAATTTGTTTAAAAAATTATTTTGACATATTTAATATAATCAATTTCCTGTCATTTTTTTTTTTAATGTGTGCTTTAAAAAATACTCTGAGGAGAGGGGTCTATATAGAAAGAAGACTGAGGGCACAATGGGATGCTAAAAATCCCTACATAGACAGTGACACAGCTGATAATTATTGTAGGATAGGCAGCTATAGTTCCACATGTTTTCCACACGTGTGAGCAATAGAGCGCAGCACCTGTACCTGCATGGCCCAAGCTAGGGCCGCCTACCCTGGGGCTGACACTCAGGTTTGTGTAACACCGCTCCTAGAAAGTCAGGACTGTAACACCTCCCAGGACAGGAAATTGTGTTTTGGTCTTCCTTCCCTTTCTTTCCCTAGTTTATTTTTCTTGAAATAGTCCTACATAAATTCAGCACTTAGATGCTTCACTGAGTACATTTTCTTTCACCTGCCCAGGGTCCCGCCCCATGCTTCCTCTGATACCGTGATTTCACTGGCGACGCCCCGCCCCGCCCATCCCACCATCAGGTCCTATGGTGTGAATAGGACATTCCCGTCTGCATCTGTGATGCTGGGCATCACGCAGGATCAGTGCCCCTCGGCAAGACTGACGGGCCCGAGACGCACAGAACTTATGTGACTCAATTTTGGAATTTTAATAGGAAAGGAGTCACACTTCCCAGTCTGGTTTTTAAGAAAGAAAGATGCATGCCCAGGGGCTGACGGCCCCCTTTCCCACTGGGAGAAAAGTTGCCTGGGAATGCAGCTGACACGGAAGAAAACAGCTGAGAGATGGGAGGGAGAAAACCCTCAGGCTCCTGAGACGAGGTTTAAGACCGGCCTGAGATCAGCGCTGCCCCCGGCCTCTGACTACGGAAGCCTGTTGGAGGGGGTCATCCAGGGGTCGTGAGCGGGCCGCGCGGTGGGAGGCCCCTCACCCTCCGCGTTCTTGCAGCACAAGGTCTGTTCGCAGTTCCCAGCGTGGTGGCGGCTTTAAGGCAGTGCTGAGACGGCAGGGTGTTGAGACTACCAGGGCTGTAAATGTGACTCAGCCCCATTAAAGCCTTTCTATAACTTTTAAATTGTAAATACTATTTTAGTCATTTTTGTTTACAACTGAAACTCCAGAGATTCAAAATTAACATCCTTGCCCAAGAGTTTAGACACCAGAAGAAGTGTCAACCATGAGTTCCACATTGTTCTGTTTTGATTTATCCAAATGAACCGTCGCAAGCCAACTACCATCCAGTTTCACGAAGATTCTCTTGCTCACAATGTCACTTGAGAAAACCAAGTCCTCCTGGATCCCATCATGCACTGGGGCCAGCGTGCAGCTCCTGGGGACCCATTTGCTTTTCTTTTTTTTATCTGACTCTTTTGAATTGACTTAGGCAGATTCTTTGAGCAATAAAACCAACGTGCTTCCCACTGAATGAAATTTTTTTCCAATTCATGGACTTGGACTTTCTGGAAAGAGTTCAGTTGGGGAATGCAGACAAAGATTACAAAAGCTTCCCGACCACCACCAACCTCATTTCCTTGGCCGCCGTTGCATTCACCCCCTCAGCTGGGCCTTGAGGCTGTGTTCACCTCCAGCTCCAGCAGAGGCTGGGAGATGCCAGACTCAAAATCCACAGGCTTCTCGCCGTTGGACTTCACGATCTTCGCCCTCAGGCCCAGCGTGGCTTCCCCTCCATGAGACCACCGACTTCTGTTGGTGAGCACCCGGCCAAGAAGGGTTTATATAAACCTCTTAAGCCTCTGGAAGGCAGATGCAGAGACCTAGTCATCTTGCAGATGCCCAAGACAAGCCTTCTAGGTAAGTTTTATTAAACTTGCCTCCTGTCTATCTGGAGTGGCCTCCCTCTTTCTTTGGTCTCTACTTAGCCCCCCGTGTACAGCACAGGGGTCACTGTGCAAGCTAACAAAGCCATCGAATCCCTCACTAGCTTAAGCCGCTGGCTTATATCAAAAGGAACCGTTGTCTTGGTAAAGTTTATAATACAAATTTAATATCTCAGTGCCTTTTAAAAGGAAATACTTGATCTGTTCTATGACATTATAATTCCTTTATTAAATAAGTGAATGGATACACTGTTACTGGCATTTGTTGATCTCTGTGAGATAAACCCAATATACATACTTAATATTTATAAAAAGTGTAGATACAATCAACCCATTTTACAGAGGAGTAAATATAAATAGCTTTTGATGTAAAGTCATTTATCTATATCTGTAGAGAATTTAGTGAATATAATGTTATAATTCCCACTGACTGTATTCCAGAGTCTGTGTTTTTCCATTATGCATTGTGAAAACAAAATATAACTTCTCTTTTAGTGTAAAATAAACATGGACAGTTGTCATCGAGGACTCTTTAATTGTGTAACTGCACACAAATGTCCCTCTCCCTTCTTAGATAGTCAAGTATACACATTCATCTTTTCCTAATTTCCTGCCAAAGCAGCGTTTTATATGTCCTAAGCATCCGTTACGCAAAGATCACAGGGTGTTTTATAAAAGGAAACCTCACGATGCCCTAAGGGAGATGATGCGCTCTAGGTTCTTGTGAGGAACAGCACAAACACCAGATAAATAACGCCTGTCTCAGCTGCTCAGGCTGCCATGACAACACACCATAGACTGGTAGCTTACAAACAACAGGAATTTATTTCTCCCAGTTCTGGAGACTGGAAGTGGACTCTAAGGGCACCATAGTCACATCTCCTGAGGGCCCTCTTCCTGGTTCACAGCTGGCATCTTCTTGCTGTGTTCTCACGTGGTGGAAGGAGCAAAGGATCTCTCTGGAGCCTCTTTTTTAAGGTACAAATCCAAATCCCACTTAAGCACCTCCACAAATCTCTACATGCTAATACCATCTCCTTTGGGGCACAGGATTTCAACATATGAATTTGAGGGGGGCACAGATATTCAGATCAAAGCAATGCCTCTCATTGAAGCTAGAAGAAAAATAGTTGTCAGATGATGAACACAAACAGATGATTACCTTCCTAGTGAAACAGGGAATTTCTGCGTCACCATGAGGAGTCATTTCTTACACTGTCACTGCAATTGGAGGGTTTGAGAGTCTGTAACTGAAACAGCACAACTTTAAAGCATCCTGGGCTTGTGAATTCCCCGTGCATTTTCCTGGGCTACTTATGCTTTTTCTCCTTTTCCCTATCTTCAGATGACATAAAATTGCCTTAATGAGGCTAATTAATGAAGTGGAAACTGGGCATACTCAAGAGTCTAGGAAAATTTGGGGTTATAGTAAGGAAGCTTTTACACAGTTTAGCATTCTAGTTGACAAAACAAATCCTTTTTCATGGATGTGCACAGTAACAGATTTTCTTGGAAGCATAATATCCGAGTTCAGTACACTCAGAGGAAAGTAATTGAATTTGGACATAATTGGGAAAGTTCACAGCTCAGGAAATATTGGTGAGGAAATGGTGACATACAAAGCTGACTTGAGTCAGTAATGCTTTCAGGAAGCAAGAACAGAACTGAAGCCTTATTCTGGAAGTTGCTGTTAAGAAGGTGGTTGGAATAAATAGATCTGCATTTCTTCCAGGTGAACAGCCCCACCATGTCCAGCATGACAGTGCTCATTTTCCTTGGTAAGTGAATTATGCTGCTGGTTTATCTGAATTCATGACAATTCTTCATGTACTGAATGCTGCTGTCCCATCTAAACTGTTGATTGAGTTAACAGGTTTATAATATGAAATATCAATTAAAATCTGCATTTTATCATGGCTTATTACTTCTGCAAAAATATACACTTATTTTTACTCATAACTATTGAAAATGCACAACACAGAAATTGTGTTAATAAATCAGTTTGCTTCTGTTTTACTGTATAGAATAATCTAATTATTTTATATATTAGGATCTATTAGCTTCACATATATTCTAGAGCCCTTTAGAAACAAAACCTTTCAGCACTTATTTACAAGTTATAAAATGACAAATTTCAAATTGATGTCTATTTTTCTTTGAAATTAAATTAAAATCAGATTAATTTAAACTATAGAGTTCCCCTAATTTTAAGGTGTTAATGTTTACTAAGTGGGGGTCATTTATGAGGATAAATAACACCATATCAAATGTTTTACATTTCAGTTTTTGTAACCTAAAGTGTAGACTCATCTCTGGTTTAAGGTAGTGTGAATGTATTTTAAGATGTTGGTGAAAAATAATTAATTTATATACTTAAAGTAGAATCCATGAGGATCTACTTGCTATATGTGTGATTAGAATAGCTGTTATATTTTCTTTGGCATTTAGTAGAATCTATAAATTGAATTCAGGAAAAGAGATAGAATTGTAGCTGAATATTAAGAATCCACTCATTAAAGCAAAGCTAGTTTATTTTCTTCTAACTCTAAGCTCCTAGATATTGATGAATAAAGATATAATTGTGGGCAAGAAAACAAGTTTTCAAATTATGTCGAATATAAAAAGAGTCAAAATAAATCATGTCAAAGAACATTAAAGCAAGAAGGAAAGGATCTTCTGCATATCTTCAGTTATTATTTGGTATAAATAATAGTTATTTGGTTTCCAAAATTTTGTTTCCTATATTTGTTTCTAATAATATTTACTTATTCCTACTATTTATTATAAAGAGAAGTCTAGGAGTTTTTACATTTTGTAGATTAGGCAGCAATATAACAGAACACACAAAATACATTACGATCTCATTATGGCCTCAATTGAAAGGCAGTGGTGGCCTCTTGTTTTCATATTCACTTCTGAATTAGCCTTGACATTAGGTTGTGTGAAGGAGTGAAATCATTTTTAACCCCATTAAGGTCAATATTGTGCTAATAGTTTTAACCAATATTTCCTATAGTGCATTCTTCAGAATTCTTGTTCAACATCATCTAAATAGACCTTGTGACACAGGAAAGTTCTGTAGCCAAAGAAATGTGTTACATAGTGAATTTAAAATGAGCATTTAATATCATAAAAAGCCTTATACTTTAAAAGGGTGATATTATGTGCAACATTCTCACTCTTGTTTATTTCAAATGGAACCTGTTTTTCTCTGAGCATTTCAGGAGTATCCCTGAGAACTTCTGGGTTGAATACATGGCCCAGATCATAGTAAAAAATGAATCAGATTTTGGAATGCCTAAGTTATTTTGATTCCTGTGGGCCAAATCATTGAGATGGTTTTCCTAGTTTATTCAGTATTTTATTTGAGTAGAAGGGGTAGAAAATCATGTAAAATAAACAATCAAGTGGACTATTTAACCTACAATTTTAAGTATGAAAGAAAATGAAACAGATTTGGGAAAGATAATACGTAAATTCATTAATGATCATAACGCTGAGGTACTGGTAAGGTTTTGATGATATATTCAGGAGAGCATCATAATAAGTTTCTTGAGGGAGGTATTCACAAGATATAATGATCAAATAAAATTCCAGTTTCTTTTGAGTTTTTACATAAAATCCCCATTTTAGGGTCATTGGTAAGCTGGGCTCAAACAAATTACTGTTGGCCAGAATCAAAGGGTGTCATGTATTTCTCTGGGCTTGCTAAGCCAGAACAGGATCTCGGCTGGATGAGGTTACCCAAGAACATGTGAAAAACAGAAAGCTGATATGTCAGTTTGCCCTCTAGCCCTTAACAAGAAAAATATAACCAAGCCACACCCCTGGGCCTATTCTCCAAAAAGCAGTGACCCAAAAAGTAGTAGACATGATCCAATCAGTTGTCTTGGATTCTCCTTAGGAGAAGAGGTTTGGAAAGAGGTAAGATAAAGAAAAGATTTTAAGGCTTTATTTGAAGTCTGCAATTTTATGTTGTCATAGATGATTCATAATTAACATCACCTTTTTAAAAATTCAAGTACTTGGCTCTATAAAGACATAGTTAATACCCTGTCTCTATAATGCAATTGTAATCCCTGTATCTTTCTATGGATTGATTAAGCAAGTGTCAGTTTGCATTCTTGCAGAATCAATTTGAGTAATTTGTATACCATATGTAACTCTGGGGGGAAAATATTTTCCCAGCCTGGGGCAAATTACCTTTGAAACCGAAATCAGTCAAAGGGAAAAATAAAGTGGGAGAAACCTACTTATTGCTTACAAGCAGTCATCTACTTCTGCTCTCCCGTGTCTCTCACAACCCAGCTGCAAACAGGAATGCAAAAAGGGACCCCACCCAACCTCTCTAGTCCAGATATGCCCTCACTCCCCAATGTAATCACCTATTGATATGGAGATGGCTACGTCTCTCCACCCCTTGGAAACACCTATTAATATGGATATGAACTAAGGCCAGGAGAGAGATTCTGGAAATTTTGCAATTTTACCCACACCATACCAAATAAACATTGCCACTGTCTTGATATTTTTAGAAAATTTGCTGGAACCTCTTTTTCTTCTGCCCAACATAACTTGTAAATATCTGGAAGGTGTTATTTTTATTGAATATTATTAGTTACTTCCATATAACTCATCTACAAAGAACTATTCATGTTGGTGTAAGTCAACATACATTTAATGCGTCGTTGTGTTTGATGATGGGGCTACAGTTAAGAATTATCCCAGTTCCTGCCCAGTAAAATCCCAGAACCTAGTGGTGGAAACAAGTACATAAATACATGCTTTATTACAGAGCAGTAAATGCTGTAGTTGGAGAATTCCCAAGGTTGTAGTAAAACAGATGGAGGATGTAAAATTCAATTTAGATGTAGGCAAAGGGGGTATTGAATTCAGGAAAGGCTTCCATAAAATAAGTATTGTGTTGAGTCTTAAAGAACAAAAAAAGAGTTATTCCAGACGAAAACAAAAGTAGTATAAATGCTCAGAGATACAAGACAACAGGGAGAATTTGGAAAACCATAAATGTTTAAGGACTTCTAGATAGCACATGATAAGGAATATGAGAGTCATGCTATGAGGCACTGTTCAAAGGGTGATGCAGGGAAATGACAAGACTATAATGATGCATTAGGCAGATAAGGTGGTGTAAAGTACTTATCTAAGTAAGATGAAACTTAAGGCTGACTGACTAACGAGTGAGTTGGTCATAAATTCAAAGTGAGAGTCAACGAACTATGCAAGAATGGATATGGGAGAGTGCAGCTGAGGATGGAAAAGTTGTCTATCGTGAATCCAAGGTTCATAGATAGGGTACTGATGTGAATGGTGAAATTGCTAATGATGTAGGGTGGTCCACCAGGGAGTGGTGATGATGAGGACAATATAAGAGATACATTAATGTGGAAATGTGTCTGTAACATGTTGGTGGAGATAAAAGCATCTATAACTGGAATACTGGAAAATAATGGGATTGAATTATATATTTGAAAATCATCAGCCTAGCGATTCTAGTTGAAGCCATTAGAGTGCACTGGAATTGTCCTCAGAGAGTGTGTAAGGTGTAAACAGGAAAAGTCTGAAGGAAGAACCGAAGCTAAACATATATTTCAACAGAAGGGTATGAGGATCCTGGCGAGCATGGTTAGTGTCAGAAAGTATCAAATGAGTAAGAATCAGAGAACTACAAGAGAGGGTCGCCAAGGAGAGTTTCAAGAGCAAAATGACAAGAAAATGCCCAGTGAGAAAGTAGGCAAAATGAAATGTTAAAACTATTAGATATGATGCTATGGAGGTGATTAGGGTATTTTTTAAGAGCAGTTTCAATGGAGCAATAATTATAAAAATAAATTATAAGTTTAGAATAAGAGGAATAAATAAGCTGTCAGAAAGAGAGTAAATATACACTCTTCCTCTAAGCCTCTCAATATAGGAGAAATATAGATCTTTCACTAGAAGGGAGGTTAAGATCCATCCCAGTCTTATTATGATTTTACCAAATTTTATTTTCCACCATTCTGCTCTTTATCTTTAATAACTTAGATTTGAGGTGAATAACTGTCATACTGTAATACTGCAAACTTGTTTTTTCTCTTCTGTTATTTTTGTTATTCAAGCTGTGGGGCTATGCTTGGAAAATGAATCTACTTCCCAAACCCTTGATTGCACGTATTTAAGAGAGCAATGCTTAAGGGATGAAAATGGCTGTAAACATGCATGGAGAATAATGGAAGATGCCTGCAATGTCTCAGGTAAAAACAAGTTGCTTCAAGTACATTCGAATGATTTACTTTTACTGAGGTGAAAACAGAATTTGATATGTTCTTTCACTATCTTAGCAACTAGGTTAAGGTTGATTTCAGTATCTTACTGAAACTTGATATTCAACGGATTCATCTTGAATCGTTTATAAATGATTTAGCTACAAAAGGGTATTCTTCAATTTCACTATCTTAGCAACTAGGTTAAGGTTGATCTCAGTATCTTACTGAAACTTGATATTCAACGGATTCATCTTGAATCGTTTATAAATGATTTAGCTACAAAAGGGTATTCTTCAATTACTCAAGGACCCTAATGTATTGACACCATGGGCAGCTTTGTATAAGATTTCAGATTATTTTTTTACTTTTCTCCTCATGTGTAATATTATAATCATATGCATGCTTCTCAGATGCATGGCAACAATCTTTCAAATAAAATGTTATTTTGCCTATATGTAAATATGTCAGTGATAAAATAAGAAAAAATAACAATTGTGATAATTAAAAACATTGTTCCTTGTTTGTACATTACATACATTTTATGTTCTTGCAATACATACACTATTTTCCATTCCAACTGTGTTAAGGACCATTTTAACTATTTTTATAATTTTTATTCTATCTATATTCCAAACATTTGAGGGGAGGCCCAAGGGATAGAGAATGTAAAGATTAGAGAGATACTTTATTTAAAAGAAAAAAAATAATGTCCTGAATATATCAAGTAGCTGAATAAATATTGAATAAGAACATCATAGTAATACTGCATTCACTAAAAACAGATAAACCAACACTACAGTAGGACATTGCCCTCAATTATAATTCATTAGAATTAAAGATCCACTTTTCAGTACAATATTTGTTTGTATGCTAGTAGTCTTAAGACAAAACTTTTCAAAAAATTTGCATTCTAATCTAATTTTTGTGTTTTATCTTGCATACCAAATACTAAAATACTATAAAAACCTGATACATTTCCTTAATATTCTGTAAGAGAAATCCAAAAGGGAAAATAAAAATCTGTTCTTTCATGGCTCGTTTTTTTCTTCAACCATTTCATCAAGAATATATTCTACACTGTCCTTGCCTCTTGCCTATCTGCATATGCTTCCTCTGCTCCCAAAAGATGTAAGGTGGAGAGTATTGGTTGAAGAGGCAGGAACCTATAGTTCTCACAATGCCAACGTTCACTATCTTCACCATCAGAGCTCTTGACCAACCACATGATCTCAAGGAATTACATAGAATATACATAGAATTACATAGGATGGTAGAGATATTTCCTTCTCTTCCCTGCCCTTGATGGGAGTGCATGGAATAGTTATACTCCAAAGAAAGTTCTAGCTCTCTAATCCAACATTATTATTACCATTCAAGAAAAGAATTTCAAAAGCATAATTTGCTCAAAGTCAACACAGTAATTTTAAGATGAGACTAAAGAACAATGACAACAAAATCTGTTGCTTGTTTTGATGATGAAGCTCCTTGTTATATTTTATAAGGCAATTTCAAATATCATAATCAGTGTGTCATGAATTACATGTTTATTTCAGTATAAAAATAGCAAGTCATTTGCAATGAATTGCAATAATATTTGCATAATTATCCCATGCATGAAGCTGAAATAGAGATAGTCTCAAATGCACAAATGAAGTGAACCCAAGTAGTGTTATTCAGAAAAATGAATAAAAGGAAATTGTTGGGTAGATGAATTAAAGCAGAAAATGAAGTATTGGTGATTATGAAAGATTCATTACTCAATGTTTATGCTTTCTAAGTATCAGAACCACTTCATTTTCCATGATATACACTTAGAACCACCTGCAGATCTCTTATTATAATCTTAGAATGACATGTAAAACAAATAGCAGATTAGGACAAAATAGCTATAAAATACCTAAACTGAAAAAATTGCTAAGATTACAGAACATTCTAGTCATTTTGGATAAGGACAGGCTTGATGATCACTGAAAGGCAAAAATTGGCATTCTAAGTGAGGACAAAGCTATTTTAAATACATAAAGTTTTAATCTAGAAGGAAATATTGGGGAAAAAAGTGTGTAAGATTTTTTACTTAAAAAATCACTTCCATGGACATCATGCAGCACCCCCAGATAATCCTACTAAAATAAATTACTTGGATTAATATGTTAAAAGCATTTTGGGTAGGGGGATTCAAAAATTATATTCAGATTAATAGCTGGTATATTTTTGACTGAAATGCAGGTAACCCTTGCAAGATGAAGGATTCATCAAGCTGTAACCTGAGCATCCAGTCCTTGGTGGAAAGCAATTTCCAGTTTAAAGATTGTCTCTGCACTGATGACCTCTATTGTGCTGTTAACAAACTGCTTGGAAAAAAATGTATCAGTGAATCAGGTAATGCATTGGTATATGGAATAATTACAGCCATGAAAAAGAAAAGTACAATTTCAGAATTAACCATATCTTTGTGATTTGATTAACTCTTTGGATAATTTGATTAATTCTTCATGTAATTTAAGATTCCGTGAGCTGTATATCTCAGTGCATAACATATTTCTGTAATTGCTAACCACAATTTCAAGCTTCATTCAATTATAATTCATTAGAATTATAGATCCACTTTTCAGTACATATATTTGTATGTATGCTGGCTTTGTGCAAGATCTAAATGATAGAAGACAAAAGATATCATTTCTGTTGTTAAAGAACTCAGGGTCTCCTGAGAAAGAACAAAATTAAGTACTTCCCTGGAATAATACTTGCCTTAATCACTTAATATGTATTTATTTACTTCCTATTCAACATAACAGGCTAACGCTGCAGTGGTGGTAATTAAACCAGTCTGCATACGTCTTTCAGGGTACATAAAGATTTTCCAAGGGACATGTGGGACCATATAGTTCTAAAATAGTCAATTTCCATGTCCTCAGTGTCCCCGTGTGAACTCTCTGAAAAGTGTTCAGCTTGGGAATGCACCTGTTATCATAGAGTTCTCACCTTTTATTCACAATCAGCCTTTTCCCACCTATAAGAAATAGGTTTGCCTCTCATCTATTTTTAATGGTTCCATGTCCAGCCCCTCAAATCATTCATGCTCAGTGGGCAATTTTCTATTCTGTAATTTTGCCTTTTCTAGAATTTCATATAAATGGGATTACATAGCATGCAGCCTTTTAAGCCTGAATTATTTACCATAATGCCTTTGAAATTTATCAGTGTTTTGTGTATAGGTTAATTTTCATTCTTGAGGCGTAATATTCCATTGTGTGGCTATAATTCACCATTGAAAGTCATTTGCATTATTTCCACATTTTTAGAGATTATAAATAAAGCTGCTATAAAAATTCACATACAAGAATTTGTACAAATATAAGTTTTTACTTCTCTTGGGGAAGAAATTGTTGGGTCATATGGTAAAGTGTATGTTTAACTTTATAAAAGCTTCCACACTATATTTCAAATTTGGTATAACCATCAATGTATGGAAGTTTCAGCTGCTCCACATTCTGAGAAGTACTTGATTTTTTTCCCATTCTAATACATATTTAATGGTATCACATTGTGGTTTTAATTTGCACTTATATAGTAACATTGAGAATATTTTCATGTGCTTATGTGCCATCTAAATACATTATCTGGTAAAGTCTCTTCAAAATTTTGCCCATTTTAAATTGAACTTTGGCTTTTTATTGAGTTTTAAGAGTTGCTTTTCTATATTGAATAGGGTTTATCAGAATATGTTTTACAAATGGTATTTTCAAGTCTGTGTTTTTATTTCCTTAAGAGTTTCTTTCAAAAACATTGAAGCTTTTTTTTAACTTTAACAAAGTTCAGTTTATCGTTATTTTTTTCTTTTATGGATAATGCCTCTGTTATTTCATCTAACAAATCTTTACTTGACCCAAATTGATGAAGATTCCCTCACATTGTCTGGAAATTATGTAGTTCAAGTTTTACATTTAGGTCTATGATAAAATTTGAGTTAATTTTTGTATATGTGCAAGCTGTGGGTCAGATTCAGTTTGGGGTTTTTTTTTTCACGTGGATATCCAGTTGTTCTACCATATTTGCTGAAGGGCCTATCAATTTGACCTTTCTCAAAAATCACTGGGCTGTATATTAGTGACTCTTTATCCAGATTTTCCTTTGCATTCCAATGATCTCTACTTTATATACTTTGCCAATACTCTGCAGTCTTACTATAGCTTTATAGAATGTTTTGAAATCAAATAATGTAATTTGTTTAACTTTGTTTTTTTCAAAAATCGTTTTGGCCATTGGCCATTGTTCTTCTTTGTCTCTCCATATATATTTTTAACAATTGCTTGTCAGTGTCAACAAAAAAATCTTGCTGGCACTTTGGACTTATATTGAAACTATACATCAATCTGGGTAGAATTGGCGTCTTTACTATGTGAGCTTTTAAACCTATGGACATGGTGTGTATCTCTACATTTGTTTAGGACTTTGATTTTTTTTATCAGTATTTTTTAGTTTTAAGTATATAGTTCTTGCATATAATTTGTTTAGATTTATACAAATATGCTTACTTCTTTGAAGCTGTTGTAAAAGATTACATATTTTACATTTCAATATCCAGTTGCTCATAGCGAGTAGATAGAAGTATTGGTATTTTACCTAGAGCTTTGTTGAGTTGGATGACAGAATGGAGATGTGTTAGTAGATGATGCTGGAAAGAAACCAGGTATTTATAAAAATGAGGAAAGCTGAACTTATATGCCTTCCTAAAGAGATTTGCTTTTAAACTGTTGTTATGAGGAGCTATTAATGCAGTTGAAACAGAGGAATGCAGAATCAGCTTTTCAAAGGCTGTCCCTGGCAGGTGTTTGGGTAGGGAATGGAATGGGGGGTGGTGGGGGAAGGATGCAGGCCAGGGATATCAGTTAAAAAGTCATCAAAATAATTTGGGAGAGGGGTGATACATGCCTATGTTAACACACTGGTCCTGAGGACTGTAAGGAGAAAACACTACAAAATATATTTGTGAATTGTAATCAATAAGAATTGGTGACAGCTGGATATAAGGAGTATGTGATGTATTAAGCATGTTATACATGTTGCTGGCTTGGGACAAGGCTATAGCTGTACGCTGAGACAGGAAAGAATAAAGACAGGACTGGGGACAGAAGTGATGATTTTTGTTTTGGAGAAATCACATCTAGGGCAAGCTTTGGAATTTTAATATTAGGCATGTTAGCATTTTGTTTTAAGTTTCATGTGATAAAATATAATTTTAAAAAACAGAATATGCTTCATCTGGCTGGTATTTAGAAACATGACTCTTGCATTGAGGAGAGTAATCTAAAATAAACATACAAGTTTTAGAGTCAAACGTTTATATGAAGTAGATAAAAACAAGGAGGATAGGATTGGCCGAAAGGAGGTAAAGTGAGAATGTAAGCATTTTGATAACAAGATGCATGAACTAGTTAAAGAAATCTAAGGGACTGTTTTAAGGACGGGAAAAGAAACTACAGAACAAAATTTTGAAGGCAGTAAAAAGAGAAGGTCACAGAGAAAATCGTCAACATTTAGAAAGGCTGAGAAGTCAAGTAGGACAGGGCCTAGAATGGCATTAATTAGCTTATGAGTAGGTCTTTATTAGCTTTAGAGTAGAGTAAGCTAAAATGAAAGTATATTGAAATACTAAAAATATTTATTGACTTTTGTTGAATGTATTAAATGCCCTTATGTGGTAAAATTGATAAGCCAGGAATATAAAACCTCAGAGAGGAGAAGACTTCAGTGATCTTGCAAATGCACTTCATGATGGACCTGACCTGGTTGCTAAGTTCACAAAGAGCTTGAGTGGATTGCTTGGAATTTAACTGAGAGGGAGAAAGGAAATCCTCATTACCATCCTGCCATCCATCCTGTGGTAACTGCAGCTTGCTTCACAAACTTTTTGATCAACACTCCAATGAGAAGCGATTGCTCTCTCTCCCATCTTTGTATTCCTAAAACATTCCCAACATACACGGGCATGAACTTTTCTATTCTCCTTTGATAGATTGTAAACGTCTTGAGCGAATCAGCTTTGGTATTTCTTTTTCTTAATACAATAAATCACCTAATACACTGCCTGATACTTAGTAAATGACATATATGTATTTTTAGTTTTTTAAACATATTTTTTAGCATCTAAGCCATGTATCCATTCATAAAATACTTACTATTCAGTTAATATGTAAAGAGATTGTATAAATGCTGGAGGATGATGGTACAGTCCCTTCTTTTGATTACCTAAAAACGTAGTAAAGTAAAATGGACATTTAGCCACATTTCATGTAGCCTAGCTTAACACACACACACACACACACACACACATATATATATATTATAAATAGATTTACATTTAGACAGGCTTACAGATAATTTGAAAACATAAAATTACAGATATAATAGAACTAATTATATGAGAGCAGCATTAATTCACATACAACCTATTCGTGCAAGCCTGCATATGCTAGCCAAAAGGCATAGAAGAAATGATGGCTTCTGTTTTAGTAGAGGAGCTTGATTTAATAATTATACCAATCCACTGTGAGCTGTTAGTTCAGAAATGCTATAGTGAACATGTGCAGCAGAGTGGCTGTCCTCTGAACAGTGCTTATAAGGGTGCCCTGACTGCTTTTAAGTAAACATTTTCATATCATGAAATTGATATTATTTTACATAATGAGGCATTTGTAAAAACTAAGGTGTAAGAAAGCTCATTTAATAAAAACAAAAGAAAACAAAACACCATTTTCTTTAAGGGTAAGGTGCTCCGGTAGAATCAGTGACTTTGAGAAGAGTGGTAGGTTCAAGGAAGCATTTGTGGTGGAGATGTGCTTGAGCTTCAGAGGAAGAAAGCATTTCAGAAGTAGATGGAATAATTCTGAACGCCTATGTCGAGTTTAATTGGAGTCTTATATTGTTATTTTTACTTATCTTCTTCCTGTAAAGTTTATATAATTATGAGCTAATTGGAACTATGGCTAGAACATGAATTCTCAGTGAGGATCTAACTGCCAAGGGGTAAAATTGGTGCTTGGGGTGGGCAAAAAATCTCTTACTCTTATTCTCTATTATGTATAAAGTACAGATATTCATACAGTCCTTAAAGAGATACACAGTCTGTCTATGGAATTAAAATTTTACAAGGGGCAGGAGAAATTAGGGAAAAAAATATCTAAAAAGGCTTGTTAAGGGGAAAATAATGGCAAAAGGTGGAGAAACACTTCAGCAAAGGTACATTTCTAAGAGAAAATGGAAATTTATAGAAATTTATGTGAGAGAAATAATGGTTTTTTAAATAAATATTTTAAGTTACACATGAATTTTACCAATCATCATCAAAATGTGATGAAAAGACAAAAGTAAATGATGAGGACAGTATCTCATTAAATAAATTGAGCATTACCATTATGTGTTTACATAAACTATAAATAATCAGCGTTTTTTATTTTCACTTTCAAAAATTCAAGATCATTTGTCTTAACTCTCAAATTAAGTTTTTTGATGAGTTTTGAAAGACAGTATTGGAATGTTTATAAAAGATGTGTGTATACACTTTATAGAAAACATGAAAAGGTCCTAAGTAAATGATCTTATTTAAATTTTGGTCTTTTAAAAATTTTATTTATAGAAGAATCAACACTGCCTTCACATTTGGCCTCACAATCAAATATCACCCAGTGGCTCCATCAGAGGGAAACATCATTAAGGGTTGAAAAAAAGACTGACTGTCTCATGGCAGCCCGTACCTGCCAGGAATCTCAACCTTGCTCTCTGCTGTATGAAAATTTTAAGAAAACCTGTGGGAGAAAATCAGAACAATGCAAGACCCTGGATGGAGGCTACCTGTGCGCAGCCTTAAAAGAACGTATGAAAGAAACAGTCTTGTGGAATTGTCAGTGCGATGACCCTGCAAAAACAGAGTGCATTGAGATTCGGAAAAGTTTGTTTGAAGACATTTGTATAGAGGATGGTAAAATGAATCAAGTTCCAGCCTTCAGTGAAGACTATGAAGATGGATTCAACCCGGACATGGTTTCAGGTTGGTATTCAAAGGACAAATTTAGGAACGTTAAGTATAATCCCAAATAGGAGTTAACAAAAGAATATTTCGTTTTGGATTCTAGCTCTGTTTTTCTGCCTATATGTCTCCTAGAAAATTAAAATTAAAAAACTTAACACTATGATTATATCCAAAAGAGATTATGAGGAAAGAGGCAAATTCTAAGAAGTGTTAGCATAAATGTAATTGTATTCATTCATTCACTCATCGGACAAATAGTTATGAGGCCTTTACAATGTGCCGAAAACTGATTCAAGATTCTCCTCAGCTCAGAATATAACTCCTCGAAAGCAGTGGTTTGTATTTGTTTACTTCTTCCCCCAGGTCTTAGAACGTGGCCTAGGACACAACAGCACTCTATTACATAATAATTATCACTTACCACATTTTATCTATTTCTTTAATTTCTTTAAACCTCCTAAGAAATAAGCTCCTTGAATAAAGGACAGGTGTTTTTTTAAACAAATTCTGAAAAGTTTTAGCATACACCTAATTGTATTCATTTCATTCACTCATTGGACAAATACTTATGAGGCATTTACAATGAGCCAGGCCCTATGCAGCAGGGTTAAATATACATACATATGTGCCATACAAAATTAATTTATGCAGAGAATTTATTATAGTACATTACTCACAGCATATAAAATACATCTAATATATATTTTTCCCTGCTAAATAACTGTTTTTGTTGTGTTTATAATAATTATTCATATAGTGGACATATTAGTCAGCTGAGGCTGCCATAACAAAATATCACAGGCTGGGTAGCTTAAAAAGCAGCAATTTATTTTCTCACATTCTGGAGGCTTGAAGTTCCAGATCAAAGTCCAGCATGGTCAGTTTCTGGTGAGAGCCCTCTTGCTGGCTTGCAGGCTGCCTGGCTTTTTGCTGTGACCTAACATGACATTTCCGTGGGGTGTGTGTGTGTAGAGGCTGAAGGATGAGGACTCTGTCTAACATGTCCTTTATTAGGACAGTCGTCTTATCAGATCCAGGCTCTACTCTTACGATTTCATTTATCCTTAAATGCTTCCTTAGATACACTTTATCTGAATACAGCCACACTGGAAATTAGGGCTTCAACATATGGATTTTAGAGGGTCACAAACATTTAGTCCATAGCATGAGTAAACTTTGTGTTGCAATGATAATTTTCTGAATATGTTCTATTCAGTGGTAAAGCCATATCAATCCGTCCCAAAGCAGCGGTTTTAATCTAGAGGTTTAGCCAAGACATTTGTATCTGTTACAAAAGCTTTATGACTGTAAGGTTTGGTTATTGGGATTTCATTCAATGTGCAATAGTAGCACAGAAGAAGAAGAAACATGCCAGCTTCTTCTGAGGCAGAGGAGAGTGGGCTCCAGGAGGGATATTGATTCCTGAGCTGAGACGTAGGCAGTAGAAAAGTGAAAAACCATGTATAGCGAGAACCATGCAAGGAGTCTAGCAAATCCGTGGCACACCCGGGATGTAAAAGTCATTTCCTTATGATTGTACCATCATATATGTGCAAGAAATGGATGGGCAGGCAGGGCGTTTGGACAGAGAGTCCAAGCAGGAACAAACTGAATCATGAGGGGACTTGTATGCCATAACAGAAATCAATGTCATCACCAATAGCCAGTGGCAAAGATTGAATTTTCATTTCAAAATGAAAATCAGATCAAACCCTTCCCCTATCACTATATGCATATGTCTGTTAGTGTTCCCTGTATTTTATTTTGATTTGTGTTTAGTTGTCTGTATTTCCTGCCAGCCTGTGGATGCTCCACAACAGGAACGGCAGATTTTGTGTCTTCAGTATAGCACCTGGCACATAGTAGGGACTCTACCAATGCATCTTGAATGAAAAATTTGAGAATTATATGGCCACGGAGTTAACTCCCATCCAAGAGTCTCCAATTCTATAATTATAATTCTTAAGAACTCAGGGAGGTAAGATAATCAGAGGTGGAAATAGTCTTTAAATTGCATTGCAATCTAATTAAGACTTACTGAGAATTTAGACATTATATTCCTTTCTCCCCAGACTGATTGTTTACTTTAGTGCACATGGCCTAGTCATTAGCATTTGTTTAAATCTTCAAGTAACTGAAACCTCAGAGCAAGGCTGTTTAACTCACTTGAATGATAGTTCACAGGTTTATTTTTCTTCATCTGTACCTCAGTGATTTTGAGAATCAAGGGTTAAATAAGTGTTACATGAGTTTGCATGTATTTTTACTGGATTACTTGCTTGTAAATGTAGCCCACATTCTCTTCTTGGGTTTGAAAATTGTTCACTGATGAAATAGACTCTTTGTTTTCCTTCTAGATAACATGAAAGAGGATAATAAATTCAAGTGGAATCTCACTACTTTTCCCTATCATGGTAATACTTATAAATTGTAATTTTGATCTGCATTGTAAACACCAGACAATATAATTTAAAATGTGGTTACGAGGTTTCTTAAAGGTACGCTAATACACAATAAGTTGTGTGGCTTTTTAGTAGTTCTAATATTCCAAATGCAACAAAATTATTGCATTTCTTGCACTCATTTATCAAAGCAACTGCTTTTCCCATCCACTGCCTATTTATGATTCTGCTGAGGAATACTTTATAATTAAAATCAAAGACTAGAGCTTGGTTAAATTTCATGGATCTCTTGATCATATAAATTAAATCATTTGAGGCCAGCTGTTTTTGTGTCTATGTGTGTCGAGTGGGGTGCATTCACATGTACCTGTGTTTTCCAGAATATGAACATTTCTATAAGCTGGAAAAACCATGTGGAACCTTTAGTCACGATTTCCTCCCCCAAATAAAAACTTCAACAGAACAAGAATCATTTTGATTTGATCCAGTGAACTCCCCATAAGCTATATAGCTCACATGTATTTTCTGAAGATTTATTGTTTACATTTGAGAAACTTGGACTCAAGTCATTTTCCTTCCTTTCCGTTCTGGCCCTCCACATTTCCCATCACTTTTGGATTACAGTATACATCCAGGATACATGAAAAATGATTCAAAATAGCCCACCACTTAGGTCTCTGTAAATTCATACTAATGCTTAAAAAAGAAAGGGTCGTGTGTGCTGAAAATAACACATTGGTACATTGCATTTTGTTCATAGACTTTTTGCAGGATTTTTTGCAGATTCTGTATGTATAGCTTTATGTTTACTTCTCCATGCCCCGCGCATATCATTGCTTTCAGGAATCAAAGGGATCCCATCCTGTTTGGAAGTGGCAGAGGCATGCGTAGGGGATGTGGTCTGTAATGCACAGTTGGCCCTTTACCTTAAAGCTTGCTCAGCAAATGGAAATCTGTGTGATGTGAACCACTGCCAAGCAGCCATACGGTTCTTCTATCAAAATATGCCTCTTAACATTGCCCAGATGTTGGCTTTTTGTGACTGTACTCAATCTGATATACCTTGTCAACAGTCCAAAGAAGCTCTTCACAGCAAGCCATGTGCAGTGAACATAGTTCCACCCCCTACTTGCCTCAATGTAATTCACAGCTGCCGAAATGATGAATTATGCAGGTGAGTAAAAACATGCATACCTTACTTTCTTATTTCGGCACCTTATTTGTTACAATCCAGTCCTAGCACTTGATCTCATTACATTAGCTGGAGTTTGCGCCACCATCCAACATGACGTAAACAAAGCCAGACCATTACTATTTCTGAATCTGAAGTACATGTGTGGCATCCTTTTTGAAATTCAAATGTAGAACATATTTTTGGAATAAGAAATTCAGCATGTCAGGGTTTGGTAGCCATGAAGTAGCATTGTTAAAATGACATGTGCAAGTTTGACTAATGAATGGTTAATGGATCGGACTTATATGTAATTATTTTTTGGTTTGATTCCATAAGGCTGTTCAATGTCAAAGAATTTTAACAACGTGATTCTTCAAACTTCGAAATAAATCTTTTCTGTCTTAGGCTGGAAATCGGGAAGGAGATGGTAGCCCTAATACAGTTTGGACCTCTCCAGCGCATATGTAGGCCATGATGTCAGAAATGTACCCACTCTTCTTCCCAACCTCAGACCTTGAGTCTCAGGGGAATAATGTTAGTCCTTTATTTGCTTATTCAAAAAAATAATTATAAAGCACCTCCTGCTGCTCTAGGTGTCAGTGTACAAGAGACAAAAATACCTGCCCTGTGGAGCTTATGTTGCAGTGGGTGGACACAGATAATAAATGAGGACAGCAGATAAGGTGATGATTACTCTGGCAATCACACATGCACATACACAGAGAACAGAAAAAGGGGAGCTGTGAATGGGTAGAAAGAGTTGCAAAGCAAATAGAGTGGCCCCAGGAGGGAGCATTTATTGGACTTGAAGAAATGAGGGAATGAGCCTTTCTCAGTCGATGTCTGAAAGAAGAGACACCAAACGAACGGGCCAGCCATGCAAGGGCGAATGTCGTGCGGCGCATCCCCGCAGCAAGGAGGGTGGAGTGTGCAAGAAGAAGAACAGAAGAAGATGAGTGTAGAGATTCCCTGGGTAGGGGGCAGGCAGGCTTAGATCGCTTAGGACCCTGAAGGACACTATGAACTTTTTTTGGTCTTTACTCCAAGTGAAATGGAGGGGTACTGAAGGGTTGTGAGCAGAGGTCTGAATTATCTGGTTCCCTCTGTAAAACTTCCATTCTGGCTGCTAGCTGAGACTAGACTGAACCTTCACAAGTATCTAGCCCTGAGAACCGTAAATCTAATCCATCACTCTTGGCTTTCTCTTTTGCTCCCTACGACGGTCTTCACGAACACATTTCCTTGTATATTCATGGTGAATTGATCTTTCGTGTGGTAAGAAACCCACAGTTAAGTGGGCCACTTTGGACAAGAAGAGTAAAAGATGGAGGAAAGAATGGGAATACTGAATAAGTTTGCAAATCCAAATGATCTGTTAAGCACCAATGTTGTGTGTTAGCTGAGCTTTATTTAATAGCCAGCATTGGATCGTCTAAAGTTTTTTTCATCTTTTGCTTTCTGTGATAATTCTTCATATATTTGTTTGCCTGGGCCTCAGGGACTATTTAATTTTACTTGAATGAGTAAAACTCCATAAATAGCAAATTCATTTAAAGATCAAAGTAAACTTGTAGAGTGGAGGAGCAGTTTAGCGTGACAGCTCAGAGCAAGATTTGTCCTATATGTCACCCTGTGTCCGCCACTGGCAAGCCAGCTAAAAGAGCTGAATATCCTAAACTGCTGCTTGGTAAACCACTTTATTTCAGCCTTGTAATGGCCTGTCCTCCTTTGCTCACCGTCATTCTAACTAGCAGAGGTGCTCCAGATCTTGTATATATCTGTCAAAAAAGACAGCTGCTTCCCTACAACACACGATCCCTAGGATAAAGATCTAAACTAAGAAAGTTTTATTTGAGGATCCTGTCATGCAAGTGTTTATCAGTTACTTTGAAGTTTATTGTTTTTCCTGAATAATAAAATTAATGATAAAAATATTTTTTAATTTTTCTAAGTCATTTGTATCTCAAAAATCCTTATTCACTGAAATATTATATTTCATTGATTCTAAGATACAAATTTTTTACACATTTTAATATCCTTAACATATTTAGAATGAGTCTTAACCTCAACAACAATATATTTATTAAATTAAAGCAATACTTAACTGCCAACAACAGATTTAACTGTAATAAAGTAATGGTATCTCCTACAACTAACGGAATATGGTAAGAACATTTGATTATACTATTTTTCTCATATCACAAAGAGAATATTTCTATCAGTCATCTGTCATCTTTCTACACTAACAATGAAAACTTTTTATAACCAGCCAGGGGAACTTTTATGAAAACAATCCCTGTAGAAATACCAGATGTCTCCATGGATGGGTACCCAGCTTTACCTGATGGCAGTGCCAGGGCCCCAGAAGTGTTACTTTATCATAAGAAGTTATTTGTGTTCAACCTTCAGAACATGAGATATCTAAGCTTTCTTATCGAATTCAGTATTTTAAGGGCAAGTGGTAGGATCTGCTGTTATAGTCCTTGAGAAGCCCTGTAATGGATTCTAAATCACACCCTCTTAAACTCACCTTAGCATCAACACCTTCTCAGACTGACTGGCACAGGTTGGTAATCTTCCTCCACAAGGACTCCTGGGTTTAACCACCTCTCCAAACTACTTGGTACAGGAGGTCTGGAACATGACAGGCACTCAAGACATGTCATCTCTTTTCCCTTGCAGTCACTTAATTTTTATAATTTGTTGATGTACATATATACTTCTTCTGCTAGCTTAGTTTGGAAAGTAAGGATGGACTGTGTGTCTTCAATTTCTTCTCACCACATGCAAACAGTCCCTCCATGAATACGTTATAGAGGTGACTGACATATTATACATTAGTAGTCAAGGTAAAAAGATAAATCCTGTCATTTTTCTCAAGCAAATTTTGCCTTAGGGAGATTTCCAGAATTTATATTTGTTAATGTAATTAAGATGGGGGAAAAAATCTCCAGATGAAAAACCACTTTTTCAGTGAGAACATTAAGCCCTTTATCACTTATAATTTTGGCCAAAGAGTCTATACATGTGGCAAAAGAACATGGTTTTAAAATTCAACTTCTGTCCGTGTTCTTCAATTCATGATGGGTTTTGAAACTCCTTTATTTGAAAAGGCCAAAGAAAACAGTGTAAAGGACATTTTTCAATTAATTTTATCCCATACAGATAGATGCTGGGAGGTGAGCTTGTTTTGCCAATAAAAAATTTTTAGGAACTTACAGAAAATTATAATGCATTCTATTTCCATATGTATGAATTCAAGTAGTGAAAAAAGTATATGCTTAGAAAAAAATTCTATTTATTTTTTAAAGCAAAACTCCATAATATACACATTTATTTTAAGTGCCACAGAATATTTATAAAATTTGACTATGTATTAGGCCACAAAGGCAAGTGGAATGCATTCTGTGTGCAGAAATTACACAGATCACACTCTCTTAGAGTTTACAATGTAACTGGAAATCAATAGCAAAAATAAAAACAAAATAATCAACTCAACTCCCTTTAAAAAGTCACTTTTAAACTCTTGTTTTAGTAATAAACCAAAGAGGAAGATTGCATGATATTCAGAAAGTAAGGATAGTGAAACACATCAAAACATTTTACTTTTCAAACCTAATATAATATAAAATTTCTATAATATAAAATTTTCCCATATTTAAAAGTTTCTTCCAAATGATTTAGTAATTAATGCACCACAGTATTTTTATGATTTTTAAAATTGTTAATATCCTTTAATTATTTTTGCAAAATTTCACAACTACTTTTCTGAATAACTTCCAATGATTAAATACATCATGAAATTTAAACTTAGTAAAATACACATTAAACAAAATAAATGGCATCTAGGTATCAATTTATTCTCTATCAACTCATAAATGATAATCAATACAGTTAATACATTTAGATGATATCTTATATATAACACTTAACTGCACTAAAGGAACATATTTGTTCTTCTGGCCTCAGACTTATGCTCAAAAGATGTGTAGTATTTCTTAGATATAAATTTTAGTATATTGAAATTGATTTTTGCCATTGTACTAAAAAAGCTGATTCCTTTAAAATGACTTAAAATACGAGTATTGAACATTGTGCAGTTTAGGGATTTAAGCAGAGTAGTACCATGTGGACAAATTAGCTCATAACAACTGTTATGTACTCAGTTTCATGAAGTTTTGATGGTTACAGAGTCAAGAAAGGGTTAAAAATTTGGTGATAAATATTAAGTAGGATGATTAATATCCTTGGTTCCCCTGACAATATCTTCTTACTGTGAAAGTTTCCAAAACGAAATTATTTTACACGATCCAGACTTTTCTTCAAAGCCAGTACAATAATGATCAAGTATGTAGTCAGAAAAGTTATAAATGGATGTGGTTCTAATGGATTTCCTTCGCCATTAAATAAACTTACAATGTTTCATTTTAAATTAGCTCTGGCTGCCAGAGAAGCTCACAGCATTTTATAAATTCTAATTAGTCTGCTTAGAAAAGTTGAGAAAGAGTACAGTACCGCCCACCTTTCAAAACTGGCTTGAAAAGTCAAGTGCCTTCCCTGATGTCACTTGGTGTGAGACAATGGCCGGTGCTAGTCACAAAACCACGTTCTGCCTCAAAAAACGTTGACTAATAAATCTCTCAAGTAGTTCATACTGCAAATCATCACCCTTAAACAGAAAATTAGTAACGAAGAAAAATTCATCCAGGGAATCCTGAACTCAGCTTCTGTCTTTCATCACGAAAGGAAAATAACGCACAAGATTTCTCTACTTTTTCTTCCACACTCTCTAGTGGGACGTTTGAATCTACGAACTTAGTTTTCAGCTCGGTACTGGCATCTAGGAGGCCTTGTGTCTCACATCAATCTTTCAGTAGATGAGGCAGCACCACGTTAATGTAAAATATTATTCAGAGACCAATTCCGTTTTTGGTCTCTTTCTAGGAGACGCTATAGGACATTTCAGTCCAAGTGCTGGCAGCGTGTGACTAGAAAGTGCCGTGAAGATGAGACTTGCATCAGTACCTTAAGCAAGCAGGACCTCACCTGCTCGGGAAGTGATGACTGCAAAGCCGCTTACATTGGTACCCTTGGGACCGTCCTTCAAGTGCAGTGCACCTGCAGGACCACTACGCAAAATGAAGAATCTTTGTGTGAGATTTTCCAGCATATGCTTCATAGAAGATCATGTTTCAGTAAGTTATATATATTCAGTAAATTTTATATATATATACACATATACACACACACATATAGCCTTTGTATATACAGTACAAAGTAGTACTCCAACACAGAAAATTTGTTCACCAAGGCAATTTTATGCTGCTGCTCCATTTTAAAATAGTTTCTGCTTGTGTTTGATGCATTTGCTATTGTATTCATTTATCTGCGAGTGGTCTATATTTTTAATTTACATGATCAGTCACTCCTAGTTACTATTTATTTGTTTCAGTATCAACCGCATAAAAGGTTTATCCTGCCAAATAACTGAATGCATTAGGTGTCTATCATGAGTAATTAACCACCCCAAAACTTAGTGCCTTGAAATAACCATGTATTTGTTCACAATTCTATACATTGGGCTTGGCTCAGCTGGGTGGTTCTTCGGGTGATATTGTCTGGGGTCAGTCATGTTGCTACAGGGAGCCAGTGGCTCATCTGAGGCTGACTGTTCACGATGGTGTTCAGCGGGTGTCCTTGGCTGTGATGCATGGTTCTCCATGTGACACCTTCAGCAGTAGATCCGGGGACTCTTCCATGGTGGCAGCAGCGCTCCTAGTGGCTACGCCCCAATGTGCAAGTATTTATCAAATTCCTGCTTCTGTCATATTTGTTAATGTCCCCTTGGACAAAGCAAATCACATGGCCAAGCTCAGAGTCACTGTGAGAGAGGACTCTACAACGATGTGCATAGTCAAGGTAGGATTCATCAGGGATCATTAATTTAATAATCAATCATGTGGCTGTCCTGACCTATGTAAAACATACTTACTTTTTCTCCTCTTGATCTTTACTATGTCTACCAACTTCTCTGTAATGATGGGATGGAGAACACATTTTCTAAAGTTATTATTTACTCTAGGCACAAGAAAACTAAAATAATTTGTCCAGAGTCTCAAAGTGAGCAAGTGTTCAAGAGGGATTTGTCCATATATAGGTTGTATTAGGTTTATAGGAAAAACCTAAGGATATGATCCCATACTAATTTCAGGCCTCTCCATTATCCATCTTCAAGGTTAGTCCATGCAACCATCCAAGTCCCAAAACATCATCAAGTCCCTAGGACCCTCGTTATAACCAGCAAGCCTGCAAATACCATTCACAGGAATAAATAATATACATATACTATTTCATTGCAAACCAAATTTCTCTATTTAAAAATGTTTGAAAGATGCAGGTATGTGTATATTTATACCTATAGCTATCTAATTATAAACAGATACACGACATATTTAATTTTTTTCTATTTTCCTTAAAAGTACTAAAGAGATACACATTGGCCAATGTGATCAAATTGTGATTTGTTGTATATTAGGTAATAGACATATATCTCAGAGTATAATTTGGTTTTGATTCCAGTAGAGTTCTCTGTAGAATTTCTATAATTTCTATAATTACAGACAGATTTCAATTGAAATAATGATAAAATGAGGAAAACTGCAGCATTATATATATGGAGTCATACTTTCTAAATAATCTCCCTCTCTGATTAATACTAAGTGGCTAATTCTGGTGGAACTAAAGGTGTTTATTATAAGTGGCTTATAATGTTACAGAAGGAAATAACCAAATAAAATAATTTAAGCCAACAGCATTCAGTTACATTGTCATGTTTATTTATAAGTGATTTCTCCATATTAATGGTATCCAGAAAAAATTGTAGATCTTATAGGTTAGTGATAACTCAGTTCCTTGGGCATAAGTTCCCTAAAAATGCCAGACCCAGAAACCTAATTCTAGTTCCAAACCTGGTTTTCTCCCATGTATTTTGAATTATTGTTATATTTTATTTTCATTATGTTTGGCAACTATAGCTTCACAAAACAGAAAATATTTGTAGAGAAATAGTAGAAATGGTCATTTAAAATCAGTAAACATTGAAGTATGATGTTTTTGAAAAATGAAAATTCAAAATTATTTCACTTTCTTCACTAACCAGGAAGACTAAACTGTGTGAGATTTTTTTTCCCCTCAAACATTACCTATTGAAGTAGGAATCTCCAGTGATAGGGTTATAGAATTAAAGGAAACTTAAAGTCCTCTGTCACAGTTCTCAGTACTTGATTTAATAAGAAAAGTTTCAAAACAAGAACCAAATCCTTGAGGTTGGCTAGTTCTAACAAACCCTTATCCCCTGCCCTATATACTTGAGAAATAGCACAAGGACATGTTTGAATGTTCTCGAAGCATAACCTCCTGACTTCTCTCACCTCCCCAGTGTGCTCATGTGTTATCAAAAAATGCCATCATTACAACATGTTTCCAAAGCCCTTTAGCTTCTGCTCGCGCTACGTAAGGGCCAGACTGGGTGGAACTGAGAAGACAGTTGGGGAAGGTTTTCAGCTTGTCACATGTGTTTGTCTCAGAAGCATTTTTTTTAAAACTCGTTTGACCTCAGACCACAGTAAGCAATGCATTTTACATCAGCTTTTATGTGCAACGTCTTTTGTCGTTTAAAAAATTACATTATTCTACTCCATTAATTTTTTTCAATGCTGACTGTTGTCCACTAAACTGATTTCATGACTCACTGATGTGTTGCTCTCTGCTGTGTGAAAAATACTTATTTGGGGTATAAATTTCCTGCAGATAATCTACATTTATGTATACAAGTCAGTCTGATAATAATTATAAATAATTATAGAGTAGTTAGCATTTATTGAGGGATTATTTTTGGTCCCATTTTCTCCTTTAATCTTAACAATTCCACGAGCTAGATACTATTATTTTCTCAGTTGCACACGTGAGGAAAAGTTAGCTAAGAGATGAAGTGGCTTGCTCAGGGTTCTACACCCCCAGTGTGGCAGACCCTGCATCCAAACACTGGCTGACTGATGGAACATAGCCCACTATGTTCTCCTGCCTGTGAAATGGTAAAGAAAACAAGCTTGTGTCCGTTCAGTACGTTTCAAAACATTCTCAGTAAGAACCTCCTAGTTCTGCTCTCAGAACTAAGTTTTGAAAAGGCATTGAAGAATCCCCCTCCATTCCTGTGTGCAGGACCAGATTTAGGCAAATGAATGTTCTGAATGAATGAACTATCTGGCCACCAAGTTGCATTTAGCTGTGCATCTCTACGTCCGTACAGACTTGCTTTTCTCTGCTATCTTGCAGCATGGAGCAAGTTTGCGTCAATAAGAGCTGATGAGGAGAATGTTAGAGAAAGGAATTTGTTAAGACAGAGGGGATCACAGAAATGGAAGGGATTAAAGGGTCGCTGTAGTGTTCCCTGTTACACGTAAGGATTCAGTCCACAGGTGTGGCTGTATCTCACGCAGACAGGACTGCTCTCTGTTCACCTTGCTCAGAGTTGTCTTTTTTACATCAACTTAGTCATCTAAAAATATACTTAGAAATAACCCCATTCTGCCCCTAGAGACTCCATTCCTTCTTCTTGAAAGATGGGATGGAGAACACATTTTCTAAAGTTATTATTTACTCTAGGCACAAGAAAACTAAAATAATTTGTCCAGAGTCTCAAAGTGAGCAAGTGTTCAAGAGGGATTTGTCCATATATAGGTTGTATTAGGTTTATAGGAAAAACCTAAGGATATGATCCCATACTAATTTCAGGCCTCTCCATTATCCATCTTCAAGGTTAGTCCATGCAACCATCCAAGTCCCAAAACATCATCAAGTCCCTAGGACCCTCGTTATAACCAGCAAGCCTGCAAATACCATTCACAGGAATAAATAATATACATATACTATTTCATTGCAAACCAAATTTCTCTATTTAAAAATGTTTGAAAGATGCAGGTATGTATATATCTATACCTATAGCTATCTAATTATAAACAGATACACGACATATTTAATTTTTTTTCTATTTTCCTTAAAAGTACTAAAGAGATACACATTGGCCAATGTGATCAAATTGTGATTTGTTGTATATTAGGTAATAGACATATATCTCAGAGTATAATTTGGTTTTGATTCCAGTAGAGTTCTCTGTAGAATTTCTATAATTTCTATAATTACAGACAGATTTCAATTGAAATAATGATAAAATGAGGAAAACTGCAGCATTATATATATGGAGTCATACTTTCTAAATAATCTCCCTCTCTGATTAATACTAAGTGGCTAATTCTGGTGGAACTAAAGGTGTTTATTATAAGTGGCTTATAATGTTACAGAAGGAAATAACCAAATAAAATAATTTAAGCCAACAGCATTCAGTTACATTGTCATGTTTATTTATAAGTGATTTCTCCATATTAATGGTATCCAGAAAAAATTGTAGATCTTATAGGTTAGTGATAACTCAGTTCCTTGGGCATAAGTTCCCTAAAAATGCCAGACCCAGAAACCTAATTCTAGTTCCAAACCTGGTTTTCTCCCATGTATTTTGAATTATTGTTATATTTTATTTTCATTATGTTTGGCAACTATAACTTCACAAAACAGAAAATATTTGTAGAGAAATAGTAGAAATGGTCATTTAAAATCAGTAAACATTGAAGTATGATGTTTTTGAAAAATGAAAATTCAAAATTATTTCACTTTCTTCACTAACCAGGAAGACTAAACTGTGTGAGATTTTTTTTTCCCTCAAACATTACCTATTGAAGTAGGAATCTCCAGTGATAGGGTTATAGAATTAAAGGAAACTTAAAGTCCTCTGTCACAGTTCTCAGTACTTGATTTAATAAGAAAAGTTTCAAAACAAGAACCAAATCCTTGAGGTTGGCTAGTTCTAACAAACCCTTATCCCCTGCCCTATATACTTGAGAAATAGCACAAGGACATGTTTGAATGTTCTCGAAGCATAACCTCCTGACTTCTCTCACCTCCCCAGTGTGCTCGTGCGTTATCAAAAAATGCCATCATTACAACATGTTTCCAAAGCCCTTTAGCTTCTGCTCGCGCTACGTAAGGGCCAGACTGGGTGGAACTGAGAAGACAGTTGGGGAAGGTTTTCAGCTTGTCACATGTGTTTGTCTCAGAAGCATTTTTTTTAAAACTCGTTTGA